ATATTAGTCATATAAAAGAAATAAATGTAGTAAGACTGAACTAGAACGTTGTTCATTGAATTTTTAGTAGATTTTTTACGTGAGAATTTTAAATCAAATTAAAATGAAGAATTCCACTTTAATGCTTTAAAAGAAATAGACCTTCATTAAATAAAAAAATTAAAACAAAGACATGCTAGAATAAAAACACTTACAAATAAACAAAACCAATTTATTAGTTTTCTGGGACTTCTATAAAATCAAACGAAATTGCCCAAATAAATAAACAAGGGCTTCATCCAGTTTGGAGTCCGTGGAAGAAGAAATAAAATGATGGTTTTGTCTGATTATGGAAGTAGTGATTGAGTATCACAAAATATAGAACTCTCTCATCTCTTGCATAGACTATACTCAATAAAATGAAATTTCACTGAGCTTGTGACAACCTTCTGCTGTCAATCAGAATTTAAACGAAATCGGGACAAGATAGAGTTGATTTCTTCCCCCTCCACCTACTAAGCCATTTCCTTTTTCTTTTTTCAAAAAGAAAAATTATCATACTTCCATGGTTATTTTCTTAATATTACATACAACTTCTGAATCTAACCAAAAGGGTCTTATGATTTTGTTCGATGCTATAAATGCATTAAATCAAAAGTTATGTATCAAGTCACATTGTTATTGCACTCACAGTGTCGCTTTTCTTGGGAAAATATGATTTCTGTTACAACTTCAACTTGAAATTTGATGTGCATCACCACCCAATTAGCTGTTAACCACACCATAGTCGGCGATACATATCACGACGCTCATGCAATTTCAGTAACTTCATGGGTTCCCCAAATATACCATATCAATCAATCTACTTCCTTTAGCCAACTTCTATACCCACTCCCAATAAATAAATAAATATATAAAATAAAGAGCAATGTCCACAAGTCAACACCCAATACTAAATCACATGCCACAAGACGACCTATTATAGTCAATACTACAATATGTTATCATTGGCTGCTTATTAATTTATATAAGAATCAGATTAAGTCACATAGCTCAGGAACACAATCAATTGCAGGTGGAGGATCAATATGCTCACAAAAAGCACTAAAAAAGGCCCAAAAATGGGCTCATCTGAATATACGGGCACCTGTTAAGGTCTGCGTCAGATGAGTTTGTCCCTCCATATACTGGACGATACCACTGCCCAATCATCGGTGTCAATCAATATGCTAGCAGTACAGCTGCCCAAATGTTCAGTCCTTCCCTGCAGATCACATGATGCACCGGTCCATGCTTGGGGGTGGAATGGATGTTGATTGGAGCACAATATTGAACTCGCCATGGTATTTAGATTTTAAGAACAAGGCAAGACGAACAGTCTGGATCTGGTTATTCACAACCACATTAACCAGAAAGACGTTTAGCACGAAGGTGTAAAAAAACAGCAGTTGTAGTTACTTCATTGCTTCCCATTTGGTCTCTAACTTTTGGAGTTCATTTGTTCAACTTTTAAGTGCAAAAAACCCAAAATACAGGATATTGCATTTTTCTCATCTTATCCAAAGGCCAAGATATAGCCATAACCCCAGAAGTAACAATATCTTGGGTTTTGGTCTTTTTGAACTTAAAAGTTGAATCCTGAACATATAAACCCAAAATGTTATATTCGTAATTTTTGAGCTTTATGGATAATGAGCCAAAATCATAAGCTGAAAAAATAAACTGAGCAAAAAAGAAAGACAGACAATCAGCATCAATATCAATAATTATGGGGAAGATTCACTGGGAACCAACCATATTAGTAGGGTGTTGGGAAAACTGTTTTCAGAATATGCATGACAGAATTTGAATATAAAATCAGTAGGATTTACCCTTTAACAATCATGAGTGAACACAAAAGGATGACAATGCAAGAGAGAACTTAAATCCTTCAAACTTTTATCATTATTCAGAAATCATGCGACTATGTCAATGCTCCAATAAGATTCGAGCCAAGTTGAAGCCAATAGAAGTCAGAAAAATGACTAGAAGGAGGTGGAGCTAGGGTAAGAAAGTAATGTGGAAACCAGTTATTTGAAGTTTTAGCAAGTCCATTGGTTATATGGTCCAATTTGAAAGGATAACTACTTGGTTATATGGTCCAATTTGAAAGGATAACTATTATCTTGCTGGTGTCTTGAGAAAGCCTCAACCTGGCTTGACTATTCATTTTCATACTACTATGTTAGTTTGTTATGAACATCAGTACAGTACACTTGCGTATTTGAGAGCAGTGTCTTCAAGCTGATTATTCATTTGCTGGTAACTAAGACCACGTTTTGGGTTTATGAAATTGGGGAGTACCAATGCAAAGCCATATAGATTTAATGGAAATGGGTAAAAGATAAGTCAATATGAAGTTTGATGAATACCTTGAAGCAGTTGCAAGAAGTGCAATCTCAATTTCATGGAGAGATTTCCCTTTAGTTTCCACCATAGTTAACTTTACAAATGCTACAGCTATCAAGCAAAAGGTAGCAAATATTGTGTACAAAACTTGGGGACCAAGTTGCTCCAGCAAGCGCAAGAACAACAAACCAACCAAAAAAAAAAAATTATCACCTGTAGCAAATGCCAAGCTTTCATATTAGACTATTATTAGAGGGGAAAATTAGAAAGAAGGGAATAAAGAATAAAGGAAAACTATCAGGGTTGGGAAAAAATGGGAAGTGTTGGCCAAATGAAGGCTGGAATATAGAACTAATGTGTAGATATACAGACTAGGTAATGACTTAGGTAGGTTAGCAGAAACATTAAGATACAAGATGAGTCAATTGCCCTAACAACAAAAAATAATATCATAGTGACAGATGGAAAATAATCACTTGAATCACAGCAACACCCTTTTTCTGTTCTTTGTAAAATCTCCTCCTCACCGAAGTTTACTTTTCCAATTTTAAATATACAAGGTAAATGATAAAATCTCACAATTTATGCCTTCTAGGAGGTCAATATTAGTTTCCATACAACTTTCTATAATCCAGAGTAGATGTACCTGCAATTTTCTATTAAGATTTAAGTTCCGGTTTGTAATTTAGGAAATAATTATTGAGAACAACTAGAGTCACACACAAACTTCCCAGAAAATTAAATCAATATGAAAATGAAAATGAAAATTTCTTTCATTTGATTTCATATTTGTTTGTATTTGTTTTCATATGCAGCCAATTCTCCAAGAAAGGAACGGCAATATAAAGAAAGCAAGAGAAATAAGTAATGTGCTTTGATTATTAGTAAGATTGCAACAGAAGTAGGTAAACATATGGGTAAAAAATGGTTAAAATAGTTTGAAAGTAATTAAATAGCTGTAAACATGGATTAAATAAATATTATTTCTTATATAATAAGCTATTGTTGATCTTCCCGAGGCTGCCCTTACAAGCAGCGGCCCTATGCAAAGTGAACTTTGGATCTATTGCAATGCAATGCATTTCTTTTTTTCTTTTAAATAAAGAAATAAATGACCAATGTCAACTTGCCTGAGGATAACTCTTGTGTTCGTTTTAAACATGTAAAACAAGAATCAACACAATGAACACATAGCAAAGAAACAATATTATGTTAACCAATAATTAAGAACAAACAATAAATGAATTAGTATGGCTATGATCATCAGGATAAATACGATTTTGTTAAATTTTCTAAAGGCCTTCTAAGAAATGGAAAGAAAATTTTGTTAAATTTTGGAAAAATGACAATAGATAACCCTATTCGAAAGAAAGAAAATACACGAATCAATAATTAATAAAGAAATGATTCATCTTGTCTAATTAAAATCTTTGAAATGCCTTCTAAGAAATGGAAAGAAAATTTTGTTTAGTTTAGGCAAAATGACAGTAAACAATTCTAGTCAAAAGAAAAAAAAATACACAAATCGATAATTATTAACGAAACGACAAAAACTAAAACCTATCAATCATTGAGCAAAGAATCTTATCACATCAACTGTGACTTAAAGAACTTTTCAACAAGCTTAAAAGTGTTAATTAGTTTTTTTCCTAAATAGGACCTAAAATTGTATATGACGATTTTGGATCATTTGCGACGAAATGATTCTTTTTCCTTTTTTTCTCAAAAGAACTTTCCACCATGTTTAAGGATTTCTAAATTTTCATACAAGTTTTGGGGAAACTTTAAGAAAACAATTTATATCTAAGTTATTTTGGATCATTAGCGATGAAATGATTCCTTTTCCTTTTTTCATCAAAAGAACTTTCCACCATGTTTAAGGATTTCTAAATTTTCATACAAGTTTTGGGAAACCTTAAGAAAACAATTTATAGCTAAGTTACTTATTAATGAATTCAATATAAAACCTTTTGAATTTCATCTCTCAAATCTACATGTATAATAAAACCATGTACGAATTATTAATTTTTCAAAAACAACAAAAAAAAAGGCAGTTTGTAAGCTTAATCCTTTTCACGTGCATCAAATATTATTATCAATTTAAATATCAAAAAAATAGTTTGTATTTAAAAGGAAAGTATGGGAAGATCAAAATTTATTGATTTTTCATATATATGTACCATGTGCAATTTATGTGCAAATTTGTTACTTTTGAGTTTTGACTATATCAAAGCCCAATCAAACCTATCTACTCGATTGCACAATATTTTTTGAGTTTTCAAATGTATTGATACATAAATTGCTTAACCCCTCTTCATTCCAAATGAAATTTCCCCCTCTAATATAATTATATTAACTTTGCTTATTCATATAAGATCCCTAACTTTTAATCAAATCTAATTTTAATGTTTAGTACAACCCATAATCAAATTTAATTATGCTAAAGCAATGAATTAGTTAGGATTATCAAATCTCCAATTTCGTTATCTTTCCTGCTTGAAAAAGAATCTATGAAATAGAATATCGGGTTAATTTCTTACCCACTGCTCATGAAATTAAAGGGCTGATTATATTATTTCTTAGAACTTCTCCTATTACAACCAGCTAGATTTCCTCAGCCTTACAAAAGTCACTCAGAAGGAGCTGGGTCCAGCCCCATTGTTAAACCCAGTAGTTGGCATCACAGGAAAGCCATTTGAACCAGAAGCTCCAGCTTCAAATGGCCAACCAACTCCTCCAAAGTAATTCGGCAGTCCACGAGGAGGTACCAACGCCCGCTGCTCCTTCATTTTGGCCTGCGTCTCAAGTTGGCCCACTCTCTGGGTCACTTGCTTCCTTAGTTCCATCATTCCAGCCTCCACCTGCTGGAGCTGTTCTACGTTCATCTCCTCTATGGGAGCCACAAACCAATGCTTCTGCCGCTCATGTTGCAGCATTTTCTTGAGCTCTTTTCCACGCTTCTTCTCGTTCTGCAGCATTTGCGTGGCCTCATCGAGCCGCCTGTCGAGTTCCCGAGTGGTGGCATTGCGGCGATCCCCTGTGGACGAAGTGATCTGGCCTTCGAAAGGGCTGAAGGAATTGAACTTAGCAATGATGGTGTCAACGTTGGGGTGTCCAAAGGAGTAGGCTTTGCCCCCGGGGGAAAAGACCAGGACACCCAGCTCCGCTCCACACAAGGTGGCGAGCTCGTTGGCCTTCTTGAACACGCCCAACCGGCGTTTCGAGAAGGTCACCTGCAAATGGCTCTCATTTTGTATCTTGGCCATGTCAATCTTTTGGCGACCCTTACCTTTCCTATCCATGATCAAAACTAAATTAGATTCTTGTGATCTTCCTCGTACCTGGAGGCCTCCAATTTATAGGGTTTTATTAGTCTGTAATTCCCATTTTGACCTTCCCTCCATTTATTATTCGAGATAAGAATTAACCATGAAGTCGCTCTCCATCCGAGAATGACGTCAGCTTTCGAATCTGCAAGCATTAATTATAACACGTGCAAATTGAATTATACTCGCTCTCTATATGGATGGTCTTCGAGAATATTTTGAATAAGAGTTAATGGACTTGTTAATTATTTCTTACCATACGAAGACCCATTACATTAATTGCCTAGCTAGGATAATTTATTATTTTGTTTTTCTTTTTTAATAACCTAGCATTTATACTTAATTAATACTCAATTCCCATTTTTATAATATAATATAATATAATATATAGAGAGAGATAGTGAGAGAGGAAGCAATAAAATATATATTTAATGTTGTTTGATTATGAGCTCTTTTTATATTCTTTTTAAATAAAAAAATTCACAAATTGAAAGATCATAAACAGAATACTTTTAGGAACGTAACGTATGTTATTAATGGGTAGTCGTCATGGCTCACTTCAGAATACATTTAAATATATTTTGGAGAATCCTAAACATGTTGACCTGGTCGTCTGATAAGACCGTTTCTATATTTGTTTCCAAATGGGGTACATGGCTTTACACTAAATGTTTGACCATAAAATATTTTAAAAAGTAGGGATTAAAAGATATTTTATGACAATTTTATTTAAAAAAATTTAACTCTCTAGAAACCTCTGCGGTAATTTCAGAATTCTCAAATCTCTAGAAATTCTAGGAAATTAAGATGGAGAGAAAATACATGGTGTCATATGTGCGCTAGGAATGAACTCTTTTTATTGCATCATTTTCCGTGGATCTTCAACTTAATTCATATTATACAACATTAATGTAACGCCCCAATTTACCAATGCAAAACATTTTCTTTTGTTCTACATTTTTGTCCTGTTTCAATATACGCCGCAATTGCATCACTGTACAATTTTATTTAAAATTATCTGCAATTTTTTATATGGATTATTTTTATGTTACTATCAAATTAATTGTTCTCTATCATTCCTTTTGTACCCTTAACATATGTTACTAGGCCTATTAAACTTCTTGAGCCTGAATCACTGGCCTAAAATGCTTAAACCCAAGTTGTTCAGTAGTAATCTCTAATCTCTTATATACCCAGTATCTCTCCCATGTTTTGTCGATATGAGATTTGCCTAAGAGTGTCACACACACACAACATCCCTTTGAAGTGTCACACACACACACCCCCTCTTTGAGGCTCAGCAATAACTCTCCCTCTTCTGGAGTGTCACAAAGAGATTTTTTCCTTATAAATATTAATTTTATAACATTTACCTCCTAAAATTACATAAAGAGAATTTCCCTCTATAAATATTAAATTTATAATACTTACTTATCTAATCAACATTTAAGTGAAAATATTTATTAAAAATTCTATTTTAAAAAATATAAATATCATTTCAGTTATAAATGTTAATTAATTTTCTCTCATTTCAACATTTGTAATATTTTTTATACTTAAAAAGATATTCATGCTCTTAAAAATAATTTTTTTATGATAATTTAAAGAGTTATGAAATTTATATTAAATTTTAAAAACATAATTTCTATAATTAAAGAGTTATGAAATTTCAACATTTATAATCATTATTTATACTTAAAAGATATTTATACTTTTAAAAATAAAATTTTTGATTAATATTTTAAAATAAAAAAATAAGTTCGAGTTGTAGAAAAATTATTAATTTATTTTGTAATGTGAGATTTTATTCTGATTACTAAAATTATGTTTTTAAAATTTAATATAAATTTCATAACTCTTTAAAATATTCATAAAAAATTTATTTTTAAAATTATAAATATCTTTTTAAGTATAAATAATGATTACAGATGTTGAAATGAGAGAAAATCAATCAATATTTATAATTGAAATAATATTTATATTTTTTTAAAATAGAATTTTCAATAAATATTTCACTTAAATATTGATTAGGGGATAAGTGCTATAAATTTAATAATTGTAAGGGAAAAGCCTTTTTTACGTGTTTCTAGGGGAGTAAGTGTTGCACGTTTAATATTTGTAAGAAAAGAAAGTCCATTTTATGTGTTTTTAAGGAGTAAGTGTTATAAATTTAATATTTACAGAGAATTTTTTTTATGTATTTTTAGAGGGTATTGTACTAAAATTTAAAATTTTCAAGGGTAAGGGCTGTTTGTCCTTAATTATTTTAAATTTTTAATTAATAAGAAATCTAATAAATATAATTTAATTATAAAAGTTTGTAATTCAAAATAAATGAAACGAATATAAATTTTAACTTGGTTTGATCCATAAAAATTTTGAATTTGCATATATAATATATACACACGTAGGTATAATATATACATATAATATATATATAATATATTATATATCATAATACAAACTTAATTTCTCAAACTTTAATTAATAAATTATTTTTCTTAAAATTAGAAACATATTTTTATTTTTTATAAAAATTAAATTAAAAAATATGTATTGGTGAATTAATATAATTATTATATATTATCAGTAAATCCATCTTAAATATAATATTTGTAGTAAATTAAATGTAATTATATCATATTTTTAAAGTAAAAAATCATTTATTAGTTCATATTTTTCTTAACAATTTTTTATTTTAATTATGAATTATTTTTCTTAAATATAAAATAATAAATATATAATAATTAAATAATTTTAATTTTAAATTATTAAATTTTAACTAAATTAAATACAACAGTACTATATTAAGTTGGTGTTTACGTATAATATATCATTGTTAAATTCAAATTTAAATATACATTGGTTTGCCCAGACCCAACCTATTAACAGGCTAATTGCATGGCTCCTTGGGTTGGCGTTGTTTGGCAGGCCGGGGTGTCAGTGTCTGTTGGGCTGGGTCGTTTGTGAGTGGAAGGCTGATCCAGTACTGTACGGGTCTTGGGGGTTGTTGGGCTTGATGGGGGTGGGGTGGTTCTGGGCCCAGCGGGTCTGGGTTCTCACGGGAGCGTTCTCAGCGCGTAGTGGATGGGTCCCGGCCGGGTCTTCGTGTTTGGGGAACAGTGATCTCTAGTTTAGTCTTTCGGGGTTCGGCCCATTTTGATAACAAAAAAATAAGAAGAGAATACTGATCCGGTATAAGTGTAGTGCCCTTTAGCAGTTGAAGATCATGTGTGCTTTTCTCCAGCGGTTCGATCTTCCAGTTTCTTCCATCGGTGGGTTGCCCGCTTCATTGCCCTGGCGAGCGTTTAAAGCCTTGGGGCTCCGAGGCTGCCTGGGTTTTTGTCTGGGTGCGGCAGTGTGGTCCTTTAATGGGCATCATGTCCTCTCGATGGTCTTGGAGTGTCTTATCAAAGGCTCCAGGTGTTTTTATTTTGGGGGAGGCAGAAGGCGATCCATTTTGGAACCCCTGGATCTTCTGGTCTGGCCTGTGGTGGTTTTCCCTAGGTGCCATAATATGGCGTACCCCTCTTGTGTTTATTTTTATATTATAAAAATTAAAAACATATAAAGTGATAATAAATAATTAAAAATTTTATACATGTAAATTTTTATTTATTTTATTTATTTCTTAAAAAGTAAATTTTATTTATTAATTAATTTTTATTAAATGCTTAATAAATAGCCAATTTATTTAAAATAATACATAAATAAAATTTTAAATAAATGAGACACCCTCTTAATTATCCTTTGTAAACTAATCTTTTTTAATTATATTTATTGTGTTAACTCATTAAATTCGCGGTCTAGAATGTTGAATGACAACGAGTGAGTACAAGACTGAGTATTAATACATTCATCTCTTCTTTTTACTTAAAAACTAGTCTCCATCTCATTACAGATTAAATTTAATTCATAATCTTGTTCTCGTTGAATAGTAAATCATTCTATTCTCATTTAAACACAATTTATTTTTTAAACAAAAAATATAAAATAATCCATAATTCACAGAAATAACAAAAAATATTTAAATTACATTAATATTTTTTCAAATCATATAAACCTAAAATTCAAATATCCTTATTTAACAAATAAAGTGACAATAAGTAACTTAAATATAGTTTTTAGTATATAAATATAGATAACATAATATATAGGGTAGGGGGTGGGTTACTATCATTCCCATCCTTGTATACTATAAATCTTCATAAAAATTTCAAATTTATTTGCATCCCTATTTTATAATATTTATATAACCGATCCCAATCGGGTAGAAATTACAGATACGTGTTAAGTTTGAATAAAATTGCCATCGCTAGCTGAGAATATAAGAAAGGATAAATGGGGTGCGAACTTCTATGTTGTTTTAACTTAATCTAAGATCACATCGAGATCACCGGTACTTGGGAAGGAAACATTCCGGGGGAAGCTGGTTTTGGAATCTGTCGGGGTCTCGACAATAGTCATAAACAAGGTGGTTCGTCCGAACCCACTCCATCCACTTCTTCTGCTCTGCCGTCAGAGTCGCGAACGTTTCCCGGTTCCACCAATTGCTTGGGCCATCTTGCCGGCAAATGTCGGTTTTTCCTTCCCACACGCAGGCTTCGATCGTGTAGTTGCTGAACCAGGCTATGAATGGGGCCCTTCCCCAATCAACCTTGTGCTTGCCTCCGTCCGTCGCCCAGGCGCTGCCGTCCCATAGGCTGGCCTTCAGGGTCATTTGCTGCGAATCTAAGTATGGCAGTCCCTGGTCGGCGTTGTTTCTGTGAGTCCTGACTGGGATCCCATCCACCATGAAGCTGTAAAATCAAATACCCACATGCTTAAAGTTTTTGTGATCATTAAAATGCGTGTTTCAGGCTTGTATGACAGTTGTAAGCGACTTTTCTTTTTGGGCTGTTCATAGGCCCTTCAAAACTAAAATAAAAAATCAAAAAAAGGAAACAACAAAACGGGAGCCACATTTAAAAACCTGAGAAACAGGCATCTGGAAATCTTCTTAAAAAGGCAAAAAAGGCATACACGATTTGGTGAACATTCCATAGTATGGTGTAGGTATGGAAGTCCTCGGTTGGATCGAACCAGAGGTGAATCCTCTCTTCCCTGTCTCCTTGCCCCGCAATAAACACATTGGTTTGAACTATGTATGGTTTTCCAAGACCATGTCCCAGGAATTCAAAGTCTAACTCATTATCCCCATCAATCGAGTCATTGTATTGCAGCTGCATCCCAAACATAGTTGAATATTAACTTAAATGATTGCAAATTTCATAATAAGAATGACAATATATAAGCTAAAGGGTGCTCACGTAGAAGGTCACAACAGTTCCTGCAGAGTAACCATGAATCAACTTAACTTGCATGTCAAACTGGCCAAAAAGGAACATTTCATTGGATTCGAAGCGGGAGCCTGCAGAAGTTTATAAAGCATATTAGCAGCCATTCAATTGAAACTATGAAGCCAAAGCTTATGTTTAGTGATAATGGGAAAGTAAATTTTCTTAGAAAAATTCTTGTAACTAAATATTTTTCCTGGTAAAGTTCAAGAATTATGTACTTGATGCTCGATCCATTATTATGCTTCTCACCGCACCGTCGGCCGAAGTATTGACGTGGTCGGGAGAATATGCCACGTGGAAATCAATGTTGAAATTTCCAGTTGACACTACTGAAGCTTGTGAAGTTTGAACCGAATAGTGCATGGAAAGAACAAGAACGAAGGTTAGAAGCCTCATTCTTGTGAAGGAAGATTGACGGAAATATGCGAATTTGGCTGTCTAGCCGGGGCATGCTTACCCATATAAGAGCGAGAGAGAGAGAGAGAGAGGGAGGGAGAGAGCCAGGTTGGCTTGCTAAGCAAGATAAAGCGGCTTGAGGAAGAAGTAAAGGAATGTTTAGTTGCAGCTAATAATGACAGTTCGAGTTCTGGAACTGTCGTAATCCATGTCAAATCAGTCCTATCGAAGGTCAAATTGGTCCAATTGAAGGGGATGTTATGCATGGGTTTGAAAAATACTTGAAATTAATTTTTAATTTGAATTTATTTGAGTGTATTTCAATATATCTCTAGTCAAGGGAATTTTTTAATCTTTAAGTTAATAAGCCGTATTTGTGTTTTATATTTTATTTTTTTAATAAATTTTTCCTTTTTAAAATTTTTAACAAATAATTAAAAATCTTATATAATAAAAATTTAATAACGATCCAGAAAAAACCATATAATGAAATCAAACTCTTTTATTTTGATAAATTCATGAAAAACACTTCCACACACTAATATAACGCTATTTTATGATATCACAAAAAAATTAACATAAAAAATCTCTTACATTTAAAATTTTTTAAAATTTAAATAATTTTAATTGTGTCAAATTTGTGATAAATTAATTTTTATTACATCTATCATATTATATTTATATTTATCTCAATAAATTAAAATTATATTAATATGTCATAATTTGAATCACCAATCCTACCTATAGCATGAAGTTGGTATTGTGTTGTTTGGTGCACTAACTAATATCATTATATAGAAATTAAATTGGCACTTTCTTTAGCGTGTCATTACATAGAAATTTTCATAATTACATTGGATTAAATTGGCTTTGTAATTTCAATGTTGTTTGGGCTCGTTAAATTCCTCTCAGCCTGGCCGGCTGTGCATTAATATGCTAATCACTCCGATGGCTGTAATTTATTTTTATTTTTGGGAACATATGAAAATTGTAGCTTGCCAGGGGGATTTAATTAATGTGATCAATGCAATTTATAAGCTTTTATTTAATAAAAATTTTAATTAATAACCATTAAAAAAGAATTTTTATTATAATTTATTTCTTTTATCTTATTTGTGCCGTGGTCATGTAGAGTTCCGTGGGTGCAAATATAAACCCTTTTTTCTCAACTTTAAGAATCTGTCTTCAACCATTAACCATTAAGAATGGCAATAAGGCAAGTATGGAGCGATGCTAATTTATTTATATCTATCTTCGCTTAAAAATTTCATCCCTATAACTGTCTAAGATTAATTTTAGTTATCATATCTGTCCCCATCAGATATATTCTATACTTGTTCTCTTATCCATAAATCTATTTTAATACAATTCAACTTTAATAAAAAAAATTAAAAATACAAAATAGTTCATAATTTACATAAATAACAAAAATATTCAAATTATATCCGACATTTTTTTCAAATTAAATAAAATCATAATCCAAATGTTATTATTTAAAAAATTAAATTAACAACAAATCAGTTAAATATGATTTTTTTTGTATATAAATACATAAATAGTAAATCAGGTATGAAGGAGTTGGATACTCTAACCTCCATCCCCACCCCCATGCTTAAAAATTTTCAAATTCGTATGCATTCTCATTCTACGATCTACATACCAACCTCAATCACATAAAATTTATGGGTACGTGTCAGTTATGAAAAAAATCGTGGTGTGATTTTAATAATAACTTGTTGGTTCTTGTACAAATCTTATGTCCCTTGAGCCCTTAATTCAATTGAATAGTTACCTTTTAAAAAAATGATTTAAACCTTTCTTTTATTGACCTTACCAATATTTACTGCTATACGTTGTCAAATCATTGAAGTTATTGACATCTTCACAAGCCATGTTTTAATTACCTATTACTAGAGAGCCTAACTGCCGATTCATTATCTCCTCTCCACAGCTTTTGACCTTTCATTTAAATTTTCTGTTTAGTTGTTTCGATCTGATTGAAGTTACATGAAGATGGTGGAGACAGCTTATTAAGCCCTAATTGGATGATGTTGTTTGCTTTCTGCGTGTCCATGCTTGTGCTTTTATCAACACGAATAAGACTTACAGGCTGGTGGTGGTCCTATCTTTATAATTACTACAACTACCCATACAATTTTTGGTGACCGTAAGATGGCTTTCTGTGATTATCGGTAGGTTAAAATGATGGAGAATTTGTTAAAATTTAGCGTACAAAGATAATGGAAATTAAATTGGGTAATTGAGGAAATGGATATTTGAACTAGAACATGGCAGTTTAAAAATGTCAAAGCTATCGGAATAAAATGGAAAAAATTGGGTGTTTAAAGGAAAATTACACTTTTGGTCCCTGTGGTATTTCTAATTGTAATTTGTAACACTATCAAAATTACACTTTCTAATTTTGTGAATTCAGACCTTTAAATGAAGAAATTTAGACTCTGGGGCCATTTTGGTGATGAGAGGAACAGATGTGAGAGACCAAAATGTAAATAAAAAAAGGGATTAGAAAACCCTAGCCACACTTTAATCTTGCCTTGTGCTTTCTCTTTTTTCTATCCTTTCTCTTTCCTCTTCCTTGCGCTTGATTACCATTGCCAACTGCAGCTCCTCAGCCGACCGTCTCTTTTTGAGCATGGCGACCACGGCAAACTTCTCTTTTCCTTTCTTCTTTTTCTTTCTCTTGCGTGAGTCACACAAATTGGGCCTTAGAAACTTACTACTAAGCCACAATTGCAGGGCCACTTTGGAGACCTTCTGGCACTGGAATTGTTTGAGCTCAACCTCGACTGGCCGTGAAACCTGCCTACTCGTTATCTCTCCCGCTTTCCCTTTCTTTTTCCTAGTGAATTGACTCTCCCGCAAAGGGACCAATTGACTCCTGTTCCTCAACTGTCGAATTGAATGATTGCCGCCTGTCTTTTCTGACTTCAAGCTAGCTTTATGGACCACAGTAAGTGTCACGACCCAACCCAGGCCCGTGACCGGCACTAGGGTCATCGACCCTAGTTAGCCATATTGCCACAAACACAGGCCAAAACTAATCCAAACATGTATATATATATTTACATCTCAAACAGTCAATTACAAAATCAAGACCCTGCCTGAGTGATAAAAGGAGCACTAGAGTACAAAACAAGTAAACAAAGAACTCGCCTATACATCGAATGAGTGGCAGATAATTGTCTCGACCTTGGCACATAACTCGAGAACAGCAACCTATATCTAGAAAGTTTATAAAAAGTGAGTCGCGAAACTCAGCAAATATAGATGATACCTACTCTATGCATGTTAGAATGTGCATCATGCCACAAATCGAAAACCAAGCATACATATACAGAAATCAATAAGATACATCAAGTCTACTTTGAACAATACTGTTAACTAAGCATCACATTACATCACATCATAACATATTAATTCACATCACAACACTGGACCCAAGTCTACTCACCACTAGATGTTACGGATCACCGTACTCCAGCTGAGTTCCTAGCGTTGCAATCATTCCCCACGACCCAAGCCGACTCAACACTGGACCCTACGGATCGCCGTACTTTAGCCGAGTTCCTGGCATCGCTAGTAACTCGCCCGACCCAGGCTGACTCACCACTGGACACTACGGATCCGTACTCTAGCCGAGTTCCTAGCATCCCCACATCACATCACACGACACCATCCTCACACACAAGTCAAAAATAGGTACACATACACATACAAAGTTCACATCTCCCAAAATCAGTGGAACAGACCAACATAGTTCACTAATAGTTTACAAAACACATAACATGCATTCTAAGATTCATATATCGAACATAGTTTCACAGATCCATGCAGTCATCATGTTAGAAAGACAAGTATGAAAATACATGCATAGAGACGGTATCATCACTCACCGTACAGGCTGAGTCTAACAAGAGTCTCAAGTCACCTCAACCAACTCTATGGTCCCGGTGCTCCTCCATGGGTGAACCTGAAGTCAAAACCATTCAAAACCGTCACCAATCCCATCGTCAGTACTTAAACGGGTTCGACAACCTAAGACGGGACTTAAATCCCATCCTCGCACCCAATACGCATCTCGAGACACCACTACCCATCACCGGGTCCTGCGTGACTCACTTAACACTCACACTTTGGCTCCACAACCCTTAACATTACAGGATCAGCCTCCACCACCCCCAACCCATAGTGAACCGGTCTCCAAAATCCTCGAACCGACCTAACCCAATCTAAAACTATCTCAAACTCAACTAGATTAGTCACGAAACCCTTAAAATTGGATTCAGAAGGCCCAAAAACCCCAAGAACCACCCTGAACCGACAAAAAATATCTCAAAACTAAACTGAACAAGGCAAAAAATCCTAATCCTAAGCGTCGACATGCAAATCGAGGCTGATTTACCCTGAACCAGTCATCCAAACATCACTAAATTTCATGGTCAGCTAGGTTTTATCATGTTGAACCAGGAACCGGTCCAATCTCCCCAAGAACCGGCCTCAAATCTAGTAAACCGTCACTCAAAGAGCACCACACAAAACTGGTCGGTTCACCCCGAACCGGCCACCCAAAATTTTCCGAACCCACTTGGTTTGATAGGTACTCTCTTCCTGAACCCATAATCAGTCTAATTTCCCAAATCCGAGTCCAATTGACTACTGAACCGGTCAGTCAAATAGTACCGCTTCTGGCCGGTTTAGTCAACTCCAAAACCCTAATTTTTCAATTTCCAGACTATGCTATTCTCTGCTATCCCCAATCCAACCTTATCCCTAATTCTTATCCCCCTGAATAGCACAATCCAATTTCCCTTTTGGGTCAACTCATTCGAGTTGACCCAACCCCCTTTTTTCTGGGCCAAGTCGACCCAACGGGTCGACTCAGCCCAGCCCTTGCCTGGGCTTGGCCCACGGCTCAACCCACGAGCCTGCAACCCAATTGGGCCAAGCCCAGGCCCAGTAAGGCCGGCCGGGCCAGCATAGGGACCTAGACCCATCCGGGTCCCTGTCTTCTCCACCCAACTCCCCCAACCCAGAACGCGCACCCCCTCTTGGGCTGGCCCACGGCTCAGGGCCGTGGCCCTACAACCTCGCTAGGCCGAGCCCAGGCCCAACAGCCCCGGCCGACCCCTGTACGGGACCCGGACCCAACCAAGTCCCGTCTTCCTTGCCCGACCAAAACACCCAAATAAGCATTCGGGTCTGTAACAGGCCCGGATCACCAAATTCCAAATAGAAGCACAAATTTCACTTACCTAATTAGTTTCAACTTCCCAAACTTGATTCCAGTGATCCACAAACTCGGTATCAGCTTCTAATTAGAGAAAACTTGATTCAATCGCTCGAATTTTCCAAATTTTTCCTCGTCGGGGCCGCGGCTTCCAGCTGACTTTTCTCCCTCATTTCTCTTTAAATCTCTCAATTAATCTTCCCCTCAGACTCGGTTTGTCCATATATACTCAGCCCAAAAATTAATTTAAGCTGTTAAGCTCCTATTGGAGCAAATTTTGGCTTCTACATCCTTTGGCCGGCTTCCGGCCGAAGGTCCTTTTTTTTTTGACCCAAAAACTTTTGTTATGTTCACTACTCCCCACATTTTCAATTTTGCCCCCAAATGTTTCAATTAGTGCAAAATAACCCAAAAGAGAAATAAAAAAAACTAATCAGGCCATTACAATAAGCATCTCTCTTTCTCACTCTCTCTATTCATTCCCTCAATATCAACAAATCTTTGATGTTAGGGTTTACTATACCACGAGTGGGGTAGTTGCTTTATAGGCCAGTCGAGGGTCACTGTCGGCTTAACCACTAATATAGCTCTAGTTGTTTTCTCCTCTCTAACGTGTGCAGAGTCATTGGTCATGATTGTGGGTCAGGTCTAGCTTTCACTACAAGAAATGTGAGATTTCTGACACAAATTTTCTGATGCAAAGTATTGTGTCGGTTTACCGGCGCAATTTCTGATAATTTTTTGTCAGAAATTTACTATATATCCTTCGTCAAAATTACCGACGCAAAAAGTTTGTCGGTAACGTTAAAAAATTATTATCGACGCATATTATTGTCGGTAATATATTAAAAAAATGAAAATAATAATTTTTAAAGTTATCGACACAAGGGAAGCGTTGGTAAATTTTAGAAAATAAAAAATAAACAACAATATTTTTTTTACCGACGCAATTTTTGCGTCGATAACAATAAAAAGTTAAATAAATTTTAAATTTTAAATCACCGACACAAAAAATGCGTCGGTAATAATAAAATATTAAATAAATTTAAAATTTAAAATTACCGACGCATTTACCGACACAAAAAATGCGTCGATAATAATAAAAAATTAAATAAATTTAAAATTTAAAATTACTGACACAAAAATTGCATTGGTAATTATTACCGACGCATTTACCAATGCAAATTTGTGTTGGTAAAGTAAAATAAAATAAAAAATTAAAAAATTAAAATATAAAAGATAAAAAATAAAAATATTACAAAAATAAAATATATTATATTACCGATATATATATGCGTCGGTAAAGTACAATAAATATAATTAAAAAATTTAAATTATTTAAAAATTAGAATAAAATCTTAAATTATTTAAAAATATATTATCGATGCAAATTTGTGTTGGTAATTAATATAAATATTAATATTTAATTGAATTTGAAAATTATTTTTTTTACCAATGCGTCGTTAATTATTTTTATTCTTAATTGGTTATGCCAAACACGGGTGCGGTGAATGATAAATAGATATTTGATATATTTCTGGAACAAGAATTCTTTTTCAGCAAAGTGGAATAGGAGCCTGGTGGAAAATTGCGAGGTCTTGGATTCGATCCCTACTGGGCGCACACCTTGGCAATGATAAATGAGGCATTTGCTATGCATGCGCGAACCGCGGAGCGCCAGCAAAGTGAATAAAATTAAGAAAATATAAATTATTTTTAAAAAATAAAATTTTAAATTATTTAAAATACATTATCGACACAATTTTGCATCGCTAATTATAAAAATTTAAATTATTTAAAAATATATTTACCAACACAATTTTGCGTCAGTAATTTAAAAATTTTAAATTATTTTAAAATATATTACCGACGCAACTTGCGTCGGAAGATTACTGATGCATGGCACTTTGTGTCGATAAATTTTTTCCAACAACCATATTTCCGACACAATTCTTTGCGTCACTTAATACGTTGAAAAGTTGATTTTCAACGCATATTTTGTATTTACCGACGCAATTTGTGCGTCAGTAATAGTTGTTTTTCTTGTAGTATTTAGTGAGCCATTAGGGTGGGGTTTGGCTTTATTAATTACACAAACCTGTTGTGATTTGTGTGTGGAGATCAGAACAACACCTTTTTTCCTTCTTAATCCTAGTGCCAAAACTAAAATAACATGGCTATGATATGGAGACCACTAGCTCTGTTTTGCCCCAGATTTTGAGTTCATTAAACTAATTTAAAGTCACTAACACATGTTCAATAAGAGAGTTGGAAATCTTGCTACATACGATATTTAAAAACTTGACAAAAATAGAGTAAGAGTATAATCTAATGGGGTCAAGGCATAGGGACTAGTGAAAGTCTTTAACACTAAAATGACAACACTTGAACATCACCCAGTAAACTTTAAGGGGTTGCAATGTGAAGTTAGAGCAAAACTACCATAGGTGATCTTACTATGAAAGTTGATTGGGATTATTTAACCGTATAATGTTGGTTATATAGGGGTGATACAGAATGTCTCTCCCTCGATCAGAATTAAGGATCACACAATGATACAATCTTCGAATGTGTTAATTCTCTATTAGTTTTATGTGATGAGTGATAATACTTATTCTCAATATGTGTTTTCATTGTGACCTTTTAAATGAATTATTTACATATTTATTTTCAAATGTGTTATCACGCCATCTGATTTTATTTGACTTTATATGTTTCGATATGATTGTTTGATATGACTATGTTGGCATGATTCATTGAAAAAGAATTTAAAAATGTGGGACAAGTATTTTGAAAATATAAACCATTGAACTTCCAATTTGTATCGAGTTTTGCATATTAAATGAAAATTACTACTTGTAATTATGAAAATGCAAAGTTTTTGATAAGTGTTTATGTTGCCAGCTATGAAAAGGGGAGCCTAATTATGTTTTGAATTTTGATATTAACTTTAAAAAAGAATAATGTTGCAGGAGATTATAATATAATCTCAACTAGTCGGAGTGTTATTAGTTTTGATACACCTTAATTAGAACTTCAGCTAGTAGAGGCGTTACTAACTTATCATGTTTGGCCCACATATATGGATTGGACATAATTATGAATAATATGAATGTGAATATTGTGAAAGTGATATGACTGGAGGACTTAAAACCTAACTATTTGATACAAATGTGATATGAAAGTGAGTTCCTACACTATTTTGAAATATATGACATGTGTAATGACAGTTTCCTATTTAAATAAATGATTTGGATTCCCAAAATGTCTTATTGTATTGATTCATAATTTATGAAATTGATTTTCAAAATCATCGCAACATATTGAGAATATCTATTATCATATCATTGAGTTTTCAAACACACTCTCCTTTTAACATTTTGGATCTTAGTACTGATTGTCCTCCTAGATCAACTGATCGATATAAGAAATAGTTTATCAGTGAGCTCAATGCGATAAACAAGTATATATTATGATTTGCATTTTGGCATGTTTTGGTTACTTAAGACATAGAATATATAATATGGATTTGTAATTTAGAAATGCTTCATAAGCCTCAAATAGGTCTTTTTTTGTTTAATGTATGTTGTATATTATTAGATCTTATTATACTATTATATAATTGCATGGGATTGTTGTTACAATTCTATCTTCGTGATTATGACAAATTGAAAATTTTGGGACATTTTCAATTTTTGGGAGAGATTTTGCCAAATTTTTTTTGGAGAGTTCCATACTTAGATTATTTGTGTATTGATCTTTAAAGTTGATTAGAGAGGATAAGTTTACCTTAGTACCAGTCACGTACCCAAGTTTAGGTTATGATAAATTCATATTTATCTTGAGATTTAAAAATTTAATATATTTAGTAAATGATTAGTTTTCTAGACAAAAATCTCATTTTTCTAAAAAAATTGGGCTTGTTAACTCCAATTACTTCCCAAATTTTGAATTCAAAATAGTAAAAAAATGAAAGGAATTTTTTTTTCACTTATTTTAGAGACTTCACCATCTTTACATGTGCAAAAACTATAATTTCCCACATGAAAACTTTTTGAGTTTTTTTGTTTAAAATTATAAAGCTAATAGGGCAATATGTTACACTTTTAAAATCCCATAGAAACTATGAGGATCAAAAGAGGATTTTGGATGAAATTCATGGGGCCGAAAGTATAATTTCATCCATATTGAAAAGAGCACAAGGGTGTTGCTTTGATCCCAAGTTTAGAGATGATAAGATACTCCGAACCAAATCATCAGCCATACAAACTTCTCATGACAATTTTTATATAAGCAACTATTAATCATTAGAAGAATTCATGATCGTCTGATGAGAACAGAGATAAAAAGGAATTGAAATTCCTTTCTTTTTTTTAATAATTAGTACTTGGGAAGAGAGCACTCCTTCGGGAGGTTATTGTTGAACCTCTTGGTGTCCTGGCAATAATCGTAAATGAGATGGTTCTTCCGAACCCACTTGAAAAGCCTTCTCTGGGCCCACGTCAGGGAGCTGGAGGGTTCCTGGTTCCACCAATTGGTGGAGCTAGCAGCCCTGCAAAACCTAGGGTTGCCCTTCCATACACAAGCATCGATCTTGTAGTTCCTGAAAGAGGCAATGAAGGGACCCTTCGTCCAGTCAATCTTGTCATTTCCGCCGCCTGTCGCCCAGCTGTCTCCATTCCATATGCTGGCCTTGATGCCCATTGGCTGCCACCTCGGAAACGCCACGCCCTTGTCTGCATGGTTTCTGTACGTTCTGATGGGAACCGAATCTACCATGAAACTATATAATAAAACACAAAATTAATTGTTTGTTGTTATTTTAAGGAATTTTTAAGGCGGCTGTAATTGTTGATGAGATTAACATACACAATTTGGTGAAGATTCCAGAGGATGGAATAGGTGTGGAAGTCCTGAGTTGGATCAAACCACAGCTTGATTCTTTCCTCCCTGTCATCAAACCCATCCGCATAAACATTTGTTTGAAGGATATAAGGCTGCCCCTCGACGTTTCCAAGGAATTCAAAGTCTATCTCGTCACGGTTAGGTTGATCCGATGAGAGCTGCGTCATCAAAAACGCAGGCTTCCATAAGGGCTTTCACTTATCAAGCCACCAAACAATGCTACTATCTTGTTTGTGTTCGATAACATGGACGTTTTCTGTTACAATATCTTCTAAGAAAGACTTGCAGTGATAAAATGTTTTCCTTAACGAAAATTAGCAGAATTTTTATATTTTTAAAAATTTATGTAAATTCTGATAATATTTCGACAATTTTTTTATAATTATACAACTATATGTCTTCCATTTTACTTTATCAATTTTTCATAACATTAGGGAAGTTTTCATGTTACCAAACCCAACTAACAAAACATAAATAGAAGTTCCCTTACGTAATAGGCCACCACCGTGCCGGCGGAGTGGCCGGGGATGAGCTTTATTTGCATGTCAATCTGACCAAATAGGAACATGTCATTTGAGGCAAACCCAGAACCTGTAAAATGCATCAATTCAAAAAAAGAATGATAAAAAGAGAAATGAACCTAGAAAAGAGAGAACAAGAAGCAAATTAATACTGTGTCGTTTGAGGTTCTACCAGAGTCCTTGTCAAGCTTCAAGCTTCTGGTTCTGCCATCATCAGAAGTGTTGACATGGGTAGGAGCCCATGTTACAAAGAAATCCTTGTCGAAATCTCCGGTAGAAACGACAGAAGCGACTGAAATTTGAACCACGTTTACAACAATCCCAATGAAGGTCACAAGTCTCAGATATTTGATCATGGTTCTTTGGGAATATTATGCATGGAGGATCCTAAGAACAAGATAAAAGAAGCTATATATACGTGTTGATTTGTGGGGGTTAAGAGGACCGGGCTGGGTTTGGCTTAAGCAAGAATATCTTTAGTTTGAAGCAAAGGAAAGTTGAAGTTGTTAGCACCGATCATGAACATAGATTTCTTTGATTTTGCATGGTTCTAATAATTAGCAGCACTTAAACCCATGTGTAATTATATGTTGTTGTTGTTGTTGTTGGGGGGCGGGGGTTGTGTTATATATGTTGAATTATAAGGGTGTATATCTATTTGTGAGATATATTCGGTTTAAGCCGAATCCGCCTGCATAGCAATTTTCAAAAATAATACAAATTATATGCTAGTTATGGAGTACTTAAATTGACAAGTGATGAGTTGTGGACTTTACTAAAACTAAGTAGCTAAGAGGCATAAGATTCTAAGCTTTGGGTATACTCCTAGAGTTAAGTTGAAGGCGTTGTTTTAATGTGTGCTCCTTTTTTAGAGGGGGAAACAAAAGAAGAGGGGGAGGAAGAAGAAGAAGAAGAAGAAGAGGAAGAAAATTGTTGGAACTTGGCAGAAAGTTGAGGAGAAAGGTTAATTATCATCTGGCATGTTATTTGCTTTCTCTAGGAGCTTTCCTTTCTGGAGGATAACTTGCCTCTTTCTCATCACTTTCGTGAAATGCTTCTCCTCCATTGATTCCTTCCCTATTTCTAGCTCTTTCCTGGTTGTCTGCTTTTCTTTTCATTATATTCTCTCAAGTCCGACTACTCCAGTCAAAATATTTAATATTTATTACAGGAATGCATATTTCACAGTGGAACTGTCAGACATTTCATGAGTTCTCTAGTAGTTAATTGCCATACCCCATGTAAAATTTAATTTAATTTTGATAAAAAAATTTAAACTTATAATTAATTTAATTTTTTATTTTGAAAATATTATTAAAAACACATGTATATTGCCATCATGTCAGGATATATATATGTCAGAAATCATTATAAACTCTCTGCAACACCACTCGTTATAACTTAATTCCCTTTATTTACTCTCCACTCTAACTTTTAAAAAGAGTTTATCGTGTCTCACCGCCCTACTTATCTCTTTCAAAAGATATTTAGTGTGAGTTACACAATTATCTTAATTTTGATAACGCTACTAACTGGCTATTACCCCTCTCAAATTTAAAATGTGTAATACTACTATTTATAACTTAATCACCTCTTATTTCGTTGAATGTGAAATTTATGACAACATAGAAGATAAAAGTAGCTATAGTGTAAATTTTGCAATAAATTTTGGTTGAGTTGGTGAATTAAGAAAAAAATGAAGTTCAGTGGCCTGTTTGAAACGAAGCGCAAACATTAGTGAACATGCTTGTAACTCACCCCCTCACTAACAAATTCCGAAACGTGGGTCGGGTCGTTCAACAATCCTGAGTCCTGACTCTCTCCCATAGTCCGCAACACTCCGCCTCCGGAACTGCATCTTCATTCCGATCGCCGATCTTCAATCTATGAGCAAATAGGAAACAGACGGCGGCTCCATAACTTTCAGAGATCGACATATTGGGAGTACAGAGGCTGAACATTTATCGTAGCGGCTATCGGTGGAACCCTGCTTCGTGTAACCTCATTTCTTTGCTTAAAAGCCGTAGCAAGTTGGCTCTCTCTGGCCACATGGTAGAAATAGATTTGTTTTAGGTACACTCGAACAACGTAAAACATTATAACCATTTATTCTGTTACCCAAAAATTATATAATACTTAACATATAATTTAAATTTTAATACTCTGTTTTAGAAATAAATTTTGATTTACGAGGAAAAGGGAATTAATCTTTTTATTCCGTTCCTAATTTGTTTTGAACGAAATGACAAATGCAAATAATCAAAAATGAAGATGCAAGGGCTCGGCTGAAGAAATCTAAAGTCACGGATTTGCTTTGCAAACATTTTTGATAAGTTGCAAAAGTTCTGGAGGACTAAAGAGTAATAAACCCAACATTTACAGCACTATTTATCATCCTCTTCATTTTGATATCAATTATAGTTTTTATTTTTTTATAGACATTGAGCTTTTTCTAAAATTTTATACTATATTTTATTAATTCATTGGAATCCTATTGAATAAAACATGCAGTTTGTAGCTTTATATAACTCATGAAAAAATTATTTATTTAAAATTTTAATTTACATGTTGTTAAAATATCGACTGTTTATTTATAAGTTTTGTTTTTGTTTTTACTTTAAATCATTAATTAGTTTTATAAAATTTATAAATCTTTATTAATTTTGTTGTACCAATTTTTACAATGATAATATATTTATTATTTCCTTTTGCATTGGTAAACATTTTTTTTAAATCGGTGACAGAAAATATATATAAAAGTGTTTATGAAATTATAAAAATTGTTACAATAATTTAATAAGTTATGGAATATTTGTTAAATCTTTATTATTTTTATAAAAATATATACTAATTTTTTAAATTAATTATTAAAAATTTGTAATATGTTATGACCAGTGACCTGAATTAATTTTCTGGACCTTGTTAGATATATAAAATATTTAATGTGATATTATTTTTCAGACCTTCCTAATAATTTAATGTACTAAACAACCCTAGAAACCCCCAGCTGCTAGCTCCCTTTCAGTTGGAAGAGATCGGCTTTTACTGTCACCGGCCATCTCCCTCTCGGCTTTCTGCCTCTTTTGCAAGTATACATACAAAATTATACACATCCGATTGTCGGCGACAACGTTTCCTTAGATCGCCGCTGAAAGATTGGAAGATTTTGCCAACCGAGCTTGTAAGCTGTTTTGATTAGAGCGATGTTTCCTCTTAATCATTCATTATATGCTATTCTACAATGTGCAATATGACTATTGGATATCAAGATTGAACAGTGTGTTGTTCTGGATTGTAGGTTTCCAGTCCAATGTTGACGTTATAAACGTTCATTTTCATTCAAGTGGCAGTAAATGGGCATGAAGATTGTAATTTATAATAAGAAACAAAAGGCAATTGTAAATTATTGAATAAAGTTGGCCAGTCACATCTCTAGTCCGCCCTCTATCTCTTACTGCAATAATTTCTATAATTGGCCACAAAACGAGTTGGACAGGTCAGCAAAGTGAGTTCAAATAGAGGTGGAGGCTGAGTTACTATGTAATAACCCAGTTTTTAAAATTAGGGTCTTAAGTGAAAGAAATAAAAAGTTTTAGGGGTCTAATTAGAATAATTTTTTTAGGATTTAAATAAAGAACTCAGTAACTTGAAGGACCAAAATATGAAGTATTTGAAATTAGGGGACCAAAATCAAATTAAAAAAAAACTGATATACACCTTCACTTATGCACGGAAAAATTTTATTTTCATCCTCCAAATTTTATTTTAATTACAAAATCATCCCTGTAATTTTAAATTTTAGTAATTTCATCCTTCCAACAATTTTGGGTAATATATCCTGATTAATGGAATAGCATTTTAGTCATTAAATATACAATAATTAAATAAAATAAAAAATACCACAACAAATTTTCTATTATTTCTCTAAACCAAGCATTCACGAGCTTTTTCTTTATTCTATCCTTTTAATTACAAATTAATTTATCTACAAACATAATTAGAGTGAGTAGTAGTATTTATTATTATATTGATTATATTTTAACTAAGTTAAAATATTTAAAATTTTATTGAAATTATAATAATTAATTTATAAAATCAATGAATTATTTTAAAATCATGACATTCCATATTATATTCATATTAAAATTTTGTTTTATTAAAATTGTGAATTATTATTAGTTTTAATAAAATTTTAAATATTAAAAGTTAACATGTATTTAATTTGTAAACAAATTAAACTTTAGATGTGACATATATAATAACTAATTATTTATATGACATTTAAAACTTGGTGTATTTACAAATTAAATAAATATTAATTTTTTACATAACAAATTTTAATAATCTCAAATTTAATTAAATCAACAATCAAATTAAAATAATTGATTTTATAATTGTCAAATCATTCTCGTTTAAATCAATTAGGTTAAGTTTGAGATGGAGTTCAAATTAAAAATTTCATTTTAATTTCTATTTTGGTTCTAAACAAAACAAACTAAAATCAAATTCAAGTAATAAAAAATCATTCCAACCAATTGGATATTTCAATTACTATGATTTAACAATTATAACAAATAACAAAATTTAATATGAATATAATATGGATGACATGATTTTAAAATAATTCATTGATTTTAAAAATTAATTATTATAATTTTAATAAAATTTTAAATATTTAACTTAGTTAAATATAATTAATATAATAATATATATTAATACTCATTCTAATTATGTTTATAGGCAAATTAATTTGTAATTGAAAAAAATAATGTAGAAAAAAGTTTATTAATGCTTAGTTAAAAGTAATAAGAAAAAATTTGTTGTGATATTTTTTGTTTTATTTAATTATTGTATATTTAAAAATTAAAATGCCATTCTATTAATCTGACTATATTATTTAAAATTGTTAAATGAATGAAATTGTTAAAATTTAAAATTATAGAGATGATTTTGCAATTAGAACGAAACTCGATGGATGAAAGTAAATTTTTCCCCCGATGCACATATCACGCTTTCCCCTTGCTCTGCTATGGATGGAGCGTGAGAGCTCCAAATCAGCCGGGTCTGGAATTCTGCTTCAAATTTCTTCAATAGAAGAGCGGATCGTTGGGCCGCAATTGCTAACCACCGCAAAACCTCCTACCAATACCTCCCCTGCTCGGTGATTGCGAGTGGTCGAGCCCCTCTGAAGTATATCTGCTTCTTCCCTTTTACGCTACAACACACACGATTAGTGAGCATTCTCTCTCTATTTTCCTCACTCTATTTCTCTATGTTTCTATCTTGAATGGGTTGTTAAGATAATGGTTGGCTTCATCTGTGTTGTCGCGAGTTGATCTCCCTTGTTTTGCCTTCCAAAGCTGCCGACAGCAGCCTTCTTCCGCCTCTGATTTCTTTGCCTCGGATTCTCAAATTGAGAGCTAATTATCCTCTAACTTGTGGCCGCAGCAGCAAACTATCAGAAAATTCCTGCGATCACTTCCCAGTACGAGGATTCCGAGCGGCCAAATCTCCCATCTGAGCTTCTTTTCCTCTCGTCTGCTTAGTCGCAGAGACAGAGGTTCACCCAGCTCAGCGTTCTAGTCAGCTTTGAGGAACCAGTGTCGGTGTGGTAGTCTCCCCAGTGGGTGTTTCCTCCTTATTGCCCTTTGCTCGGTCTCCTCTATTTTTCCCATTGACGAGAAAATGACAAGGAGGGGAGGTTTTCTGCTGTCTCAATGGGTCGAGCAGTGAGGTTGCTGTTCAAACATCTCTAGCAGGAGTATATTTCTGAGCTCCAGCTGACCAAAATCGGTTAAATCCTTTTCTCTCCCTTGTCATTGCACTTCCTTATTTGGTGAGAGACAAAGCTGTATATCCTTTAAGTTGGAATCAGAGGACTGTTATTTAAGCAACTAAGGTCTGGTGGAGACCGTCGAATTCAGCCTATAGGCACGGGTAAGCACGCCTCACTTGTGTTCCCTTATCTTAATGGAGACTGATTGTATTGTGAGAATTAGAATTTTAAGCATAACTTATATATTAGTAAGGAAACAACTCGGGTAGGTTACACAGTATAACTCTTGAGGGTTTCACAGGTGTAACATTTGATATAATATGCTAAAAGCTATAAATCGGGCTTATGTCTAATGAATATTAATAATGGTCCAAGGGGAATTTGAAAGAGCTTTAGGCAAGAGACCTTAGCGTTGGCTTTAGAGCTTTAATCCTTGAACATGTGGAATAACTTTTAAATTGTGAAATTAGGTTCTTTGGAGACCTCTTCGTTAGACAAGGGCAATGGCACATTAAGCTAAACTTCAGATTCTTGGATTTCCACAAGTGTGGTGAGTAATAATGGCTGTTCTTTATATGTGTTTTCAATTAAATTCCTCGATTATGTATATCTTCATATATTGATCTATTATAAGCATGTTTTTGAGATTCTTATTCTTATCAATAAAATGGAAATGAAGTTTCGAAAACTTGAAAGAGGCTTTGATCAAAGATTTAAAAAAAAAAACTGGGACAAGTATTGGGAAGATATGTTTATGTGGAAATGTGATTTGAATGTATTTTATAACTTGAAATGATCAAACAAAATGTATTTGAATACTTAATGACAAAGAATTTATGAACATACTTCAGAAATGTATTTGAAGAATAACGTAATTATGAAAAATAGTGTTGTGGAATACTTTACGTGATAACCCTACCTTGCAGAAGGAATGCTAGGCTTGGTGCACCTTGTTTACACCTTAGGTAGCAGGGGTGATGATACTAGCTCGCCGTGTTGGCCACACGAGCAGTTTGATTTGATATATATATGCATGGCGGGTGATTATTTGATATATACCCATGGCGGGTGATGATATGATATATATACCCATGGCGGGTGATAATTTGATATATATACCCATGGTGGGTGATTATCTGATATATATATCCATGGAGGGTGATGAATTGGTATATAAACCAATGGCAGGGGATGAATTGATATATAAACTCATGGCGGGTGATGACTTAACATATATACCCATGGCGGGTGATGATTTTCTATGTATACCCTTGGTGGGTTGTAGTTCTGGATATGGACTCAATTGAGAGAAATCTCCACACTTATGAACTAATAAAAAAATTATTTATGGAACATATGTACATGTACTCGTGAGTGCAAGTTTTGAACAAAAATATCTTTGTTGTGAAGATATATATAATTGTTTGATGCATTCATTTATTTGAGAAAATTATTGTTGAAAGATGAATTATATTTCTCGGGAGTATTTTCATACGATACTTGTTCCAACATGTTTAGAATAGGTATTATCTCTCACTGAGTTGTGAAAACTCATCATTTTTTAACATTTTCAGATTTTAGTGTGGATCTGCCTTCGGGTTTGGCAGTGTAAGCGAGAAGTGTAATCTTTCTGGTAAGCCCAGTTGTTGTGTGGGCATATATGTACCGAATTCTTTTGCAATTATTTATATTTTAAATTCATTTTGTTTAGTGTATGCTCCAATTGAACCATAGATAGGATCCTCTTATGTATTATGATTGTAGTTGGTAATGTCATATTGCTCAGTATGATTATAATTATAAACTGCCTATTGGTCGCTGTTAGAGTTTTTCTGAGATTGTTGGTAGGTATAAAATTTGGCAAATGTCCATTTTTTAGGGGGGGGGGGGGGGCTATGCCGAAATTTTCGGAGAATTTAACACTTAGAATATTTATTAGATTTAAGGCTGGCTAGGAGTGAATATGCCATTTCTAGCGCCGGTCACGATTCTTGAAATCTGGTCGTGACATACTAACATTCGGGTCTTCGATTCTCTGGAAATGATTTGGTTTCTGCAATCCATGTGTACTTTTTTTTTAATAGCTTTATAGTAATTTTGTTATGTTAACTCTAGAAGTAGCTATTACAGTTCTACTGGTGATTTTCAGTCATTTGAATTGGTAAAATGATTTTGGATAAGCATTAAAATGAATCTTAATTTCTTCTGTGGAGGTTTTCTGAGGAGAAATTGTGATGTCATCAGAATTGGTTGATTTATGCATTCTGTTCTTTTTCTTCCCTATTCAGTGCTCAAATTGATGGCGGTCGCATGAATCTTACCTTTCCATTCTTTGGAAGTTTTCTTAGGGGAAATGACAATATCCTTGGAAAGGTTTGGTTGATGGATTCTGTTATTTTTCTACTCTATTCAGTGGTCAAAGAACTTAATGGCATGGTAAAATGGGATTAATGGAGCATGGTTTTGGCATAATGTGCATGACAGCATGAGGGCAGCGATGTCAATGATTAAATACTTTGTGGAGGCTCTCTTATGTGAATTCAAGTACTTTCTTTCGATTACTTTCTAGAAATAAATAAATGCATTAGAGTTCATACATATTCAACCACAGAGGAAGAACTATGATTTAATTGATACCTATTTCTGAATAAAAAAAAAAACCAACTCTACTTCTTCACGAGCGAAGCACAAACATGCCATTACAGAGTCAAGATCTATATCTTTACTATATATAAAAGTATGAATCCTTAAAAATCTTTCTTTCCAGCCACGAATACCCTAATTATCTTTCTAAATACTATCCTTATCCCTAACTTTTGAATCCTATATTTAATTACCACATTTATTTATAGAGAGTAATTAATAAGCAATTATTACTTAATTCAAACACTGTAAATGTAGAAGTATGGATCTTACAATTTTTTTGAGCAAAATACCTCATTATTTTTCTAACAATCATTTACACACCTGACCTTTGAGTCCTTTACTTAGTTTCCTTTTTTTTTTATGGAGAGTTTCTCTTTTTTCTGCCAGATACATCATCAGAAGTTGGGCTTAATCAAATAAATTGAATCTAAAGTAATGTGGTATCTAAATTAATATTCACAAACCAGATAATACAAATTGAAAATCTGTCAATGAACATCCTCTGTAGTTAATGTCCTCATATATTCTCAAACTAGGATAAAAAGATTGTACACTTCATAACTTGCTTACCAAAGTGGCTTTTCCTACCTTGTTCATGCAAATGTAGTAGTTATTTCACTGTTTAATTGTATTTGGGATTTAGTATTTGTTTAGGACTCGTATTGTGTTTTTTCAGCTGTCAGTCTTGATTTGGGCCATGGAAAGGGGATTTGCACTTGTTTCAGTTGGAATAGCAGAATTCTGTTTGATTGGGCCCATAACTGGTTTTTGGGAGGGAGCTTTGGAGAGGAATTAAAAGGTTGCTCCTAGCAAACAACGTGTTAAGGGCAATTTTAGTTTTAAGTGTCATAAATATTTGTTTTTCACCAAATTCCACTTCAAGAACCATAGGTACTTTCTAGTTCTTTCACATGGCCAGTAAAGGTTGTTATATATATATTTGACAACCTTGCTCTGAATATGTTTCTCTCCACCTAGGTTTTTTACATTATGCAGGTGATGATGTCTTTAATTTTTTGTCTTTAATTTCAGCATCATATCACCAATCGCCTTTCGCATCATTATACGATCTTTACTGGTTTTGGCTTGATTTCTAACTGTTTCTGATGTGAATGAAATATTTGACATAATCTATAGATGGATTTAGAAATATTTGATTTCTAACTGTTTCAAGAACCATAGGTACTTTCTAGTTCTTTCACATGGCCAGTAAAGGTTGTTATATATATATTTGACAACCTTGCCCTGAATATGGTTCTCCACCTGGGGTTTTTACATTATGCAGGTGATGATGTCTTTTAATTTTTCGTCTTTAAATTTCAGCATCATATCACCAATCGCCTTTTGCGTCATTATATGATCTTTACTGGTTTTGGCTTGATTTCTAACTGTTTCTGATGTGAATGAAATATTTGACACAATCTATAGATGGATTTAGTTAATTCTTGTGATGATTGATTATGCCTGTAGAACTTCCAGTTATTCAAGATACTTGGGATTAACTGTTACTACTTTGCTAACGTTACAACCAAGATTTCATATGATGGCTCATTAAGTGCATTTCTGCCCATTTTTCCTTGCAGCAATGTCATCAATAAATATTCATTCCCTGCTTCTGTTCTCAGCAGTTCTTAGACTGCTTTTAATTTTATTTGGAGAATGGCAAGACAATCATATGGAGGTCAGATACACTGACATAGATTACCTTGTATTTTCTGATGCTGCTGCTGTAATGGCCTCTGGAAAGTCCCCTTATGAAAGAACTACATATCGTTACTCACCTCTTATTGCATTTGTTCTCATACCAAATTCAATCATCCATCGCTCATGGGGAAGTTTCTTTTCTCAGCTTCAGGTATTGTGTTTTAGGGGTTGATGGTGCTTCACATCTCTAGGAGAAAAGTATTGACTTAATCTATTTTATAGATTGCTTCATTTGTACAATATTTGTGTTCAAGTTTTCTTAGCTTGATATTTACATTTAGATTGTTCCTGTATGAGCATTGAAAATAGATGCTTAAATTTTTCAGTACTCGTCGTATATGTAAAACTTGCCATGGTTTTCATGATAAGAACTAATATTTTCTTAATAATCTAAGAAATTTATGTGATTTGAAATGCCTTGTACACATAAGCTGAAAGTTGTCAGCTCCCACTTGTGAAGTTTCTTTGAATCTGCAATACGAATTGTTTTATCAATCTATCTACACTTCAAACCATCAAAGTATATCAAAATACCTAGATGCGCATAGATATAACCCAATGACCTGTTAATGATTTTAAGATCTGAATTTTACTTGAAACATCAATAGAACAATTTTATGTTTTTATAGTTTCAATTATTAATCACTGGCATTTGTTTTTATTTCCTTGATTTGACAATTATAAAACTTTTTCCCCCATTTTACATTACAGATTTACTTGTTGGATCATTTATCCACAGCATTCTGAAGCTACGAGGGGTACCTGAGAAGATGTGCACCTATTCTGTAATAGTATGGCTCTTCAACCCATTTACCTTCACCATTGGAACCCGGGGGAACTGTGAGCCAATTGTTTGTGCCATGGTTTTGTGGATCATTATTTGTCTCATGAAGGGTACAACTTCTACTTCTTTGCACCACCTTGTAAAGTTAAATAACTTAACTTTACTTGGTTGGCTATTCCTTATCTACCTAAATTGATGCCTTAGAGTTGGATGTGCCAGTTGGATGTACTGAGAGAAGAATTCTCTTGAACTTTAGTATTTATGCAGATAACCTGTTTCTGAATGCCAAAACATCTCTAAGTAGGAAATGCCCTTTCAGATTATTGTTGCTGCACCTCAACTTTGAAGACAAGTTGCATTGCACTGTTCTTGAAATTGATAATTTTTAAGTTCTTTATGTTTTTGGTATGTCATACAATTTCAATTTGTAAATTGAACCTTTTTTAACCCTAAGTTGGGAAGTTAATAGGGAAAGCATAACATGTTTGAATGCAGAACCTCTTAAATGAAGAAGAAATTATCTTTCTGATATTTTTGCTTACAATTTTGGGAGATGCAGTGTTGGTTCAGTCATACAGTTCAGTTTTAGAATTCTCCTTTGTTTACAGTCACCCTTTTGGGGTCAATATGCTTCATAATTCCTTTTACTTGTGCAGGTAACCTATTACAGGCTGCATTTTGGTATGGGCTTGTTGTCCATTTAAGAATCTATCCTATAATTTATGCACTTCCAATCATCCTCATCCTTGATCCTCTCCATTTCCGGTTTTCTAAGAAGCCTGCTCTGACAGAATGGAGATCTAGTAATGGAAGGATAGCCCAAAATTATGGCAGGAGGAAGGTTAATTATGCCTATCAGTTATGGGTTGCTTTGACTAGCATTTTTACACTAGAGAGATTTATGTTTGGGTTAATCTCTGGGGTTGTCTTCTTCATTTTTACTGGATTTTTCTTCTATCTGTACGGTTGGGAATTCCTGCATGAGGCATTGCTCTACCATCTTACCCGTGTTGACCCAAGACACAATTTTTCTATTTATTTTTACCACATTTATCTACATTATGAACATGAGTTCTCAGCTTTAGAAAAGCTCATTTCATTTCTGCCCCAGTTTGTAGTACAGCTGGCCCTCATTTTCCGATTTGCCCCAGATTTGCCATTCTGTTTATTTGTACAGACAGTAGCATTTGTGGCATTCAATAAGGTATGAAAAGTTTGTTAAAGTTTTGACTTTGCATCAGTATTTGCATTATTTTAAAATTCTACTAATATATGTAAAGAAAATAATGCCTCTGCCTGCTTGCATAAGTAACTCTTTGTTTTGCCTTTCCTTTTGAGGGATTTTTATACTTCTAAAGTGTTGGGCTTCATGAAGAAGTTATTGCTTTGGCAGGTCATAACAGCTCAGTACTTTGTGTGGTTCTTCTGCCTCGTGCCTTTAATATTGCCGTGGAGCAAAATGAAGCTTAAATGGGAGGGCTTATCCTCCATTTTCATATGGATGGGAGCCCAGATCCATTGGTTGATGTGGGGTTATCTTCTTGAATTCAAAGGGAAGCACGTCTTCATTCCGCTCTGGGCAGCAAGCTTAATATTTTTGGCTGCTAATACTTGGGTCCTGATCAGAATCATCCTCCATCATGGATTCTCTCCTTTGTTCAAGCAGTTAGAACCTGCAAGTTCAAAGCAATCACTGAAACGTGAGTGAGCATATGGGGCACTAAATACAGTTTTAGCTCGTCAATTCTGGTTTGCTTTGCCACTTGAATTCAACTGAATTCATGCAATTCAGTCCGGTGAGCTTGGTTGTGGAGACTTGTCAAGTGGAGGGAATCTCCCATACACTATGTATCTTGATGATCAAATAGTTCTTGGTGCTGACTCTAATCCTAGGGATACCATATCCAAAGAACTCTGAATCTTCCTTTGTTAACTTTGAGCTTTTGAGTTGAAAGATCTTTGGGCATACCTCGGTGCAGTAAATTCTGGAATCTTTACTCCTATTTGGACTGATGCTAACTCTTCTCCTTTTCTTTGGGAGCTGATACATATTTATTTATATTGGGTTCAAAACACTGTTACGGGAAGACGGTCTTTTCGGTAACGAATGAAATTGTTTATTATATTATTATTGGTAGAGTAGGAAATGAGCATTCTCCCGGATACCATTCTCTTTGTTTTTCTGTTAATTTCTAAGCCCCTTGTTTTCTGTAGCTAAGAAAAAGGCTTGATTTATTATTTTCATCGGTGGTTCTCTGCCTAACTTAGTTGTGTTTAGGTTTGGGTTGAATTTAGTTTTAGATATTACTGAACTTGAACCTAACTTACTAAGTGCTGTTGTTCCGAGTGCTTGTCCCACTACCTTCCCACCCCATCAAAGAGACGGAGGAGGTACACTTGCACGGGCCGGCCTCCACCTGGTCAACGATGATCTTAACGTCTTCTTTATTTCTCCGCTCGTTTTCTGATTCTTGAGCTTAAACTGGACGAAATGATTAAGGTAAATATGATAATCATTAATGAACAATATGCAAACTTTATCACCAAAATTTGTCTCGTGTGGTTGTTTGCCACGTTTATTTATTCAACACCTTGGATTTGTCACTGTCATATCCAATAATCGATGACATAATCAGTGAATTTTTTAATGGCTTTCGATGCAACCGGCACATCTGTCACTTCCAAACTCCATTTTTCTTTATTTTTTCCTTAATTTGGTGAAAAGGAGAATATTTCTAATTGTTGGGTCAGAGGGAGAGTGGTCAACCACCAAACCACAGCTGACTCTTTAGGGAACTGATTTGACCGCAAATACATATAACTTGGAAATATCAAGCCAAATCTAGAGGATAAATTCAGCCAACCGTAACGATTTCTTGTGCTTATTCAGCTTCTTCGCGTATCTTCAGGTACGTACCCCTCTTAGCTCCATTCTCACTTCCTTTCTACTTCTGCAAATTGGTGTTTGATTTTATTTTCTAATAGTTTTTCAACAGTTCAAAACTCTCGCTTCTATCAAATTGGTTGTGGTTAATCAGAAATTGATGTGTTGGAGCAGAAAGGGGGAAATCAAATTGTCCAAATTTGTCATGGTCGAAAACCCATGAACCTAGTTTTTGCATATTAAATATTTTTATTTACTGGTGTTCCCTTTGATGTGCATGGCAATTTCAGGTATGTTCAAGCAATCACCCTGTAGAAGTTACAGGTCCCAGGGCATCAAGGTCAAGCATGTATTGCAATTCTGCTTTCTGCTTGCTTGTTGCTTTTGGTTGATTCACCAAGTCAAGCCGTGCCATGATGAGAAGGAAGCATTGAATGAAAATGAAGCAAAGATATCACCTAAGAGAGATAGTCATAATGGAGTTTTGAAGTTGGGGAGAAAGGATCTCGATCCTCAATTGGAAGAAAGTCAAAATGCGAAGCGTGAACATGATGAAGAAGAAGCAGAAGGGATAGTAGGAGGAGAAGAAGGAGAAGAAGAAAGCAAGCCCGGAGAAGAAGAGAGCAAGCCCAGAGAAGAAGAAGAAGAAGAAAGCAAGCCCGGAGATGAAGGAGAAGAGGAAGAAGAAGAAGAAGAAGAAGACAGAGGAGGTGGAGATGATGAGATAGACGAACTTGATCAAGAAAGGGAGTTTAAAGGGGAGGAGGATTTCGTAGACGTAAAGGAGGATAGAGAAGTCAAAGACCAGGAAGCTGAAGCCGAACATTCAGAAGATAACGAAAGACAAAGTGATAACAGGATTTCTTTGGAGGAAGCCATTGCTGGTGAGGAAGGCGGAAGCTCCGAGAACAGCCCACTTTTGAGTCCCGAGGTGGCGGTGGAGCCCAACGGTCAATTAGAAGTTGGCAATAACACGACTTCAGAAAACACCAATTTGGAAGCAACCTCTTTGGGACATGAAAACAATACAAAAACAGCTTCCAACAGCAACCAAATTGACTCAATTCTGATGATTCCTAGCAACACTGAAAAAGCGGAAGAACCCAGGGATGAATCCTCCAATTCCTCTGCTACTTCAGAGCTTGCTGTAGCCGAGAAGGTCACAGCATCTAATGCAACCAGTCATGGAAGCTCAGAACCCGTAAAAGATGTTGATAATTCTCCAGAAATTAGAAGCCAAGGCAATAAGAGAGGTGTTGCAGCTGAATGACATTTTTTGAATGTTGCTGCTTGTTTTTGTTTTCCTTGTTTTGATCCTCAAGTCGTCTGCTTGATTGTATTTGTGTGAATATTATATTGATTAATTTCTACAGAAATAAGTTTCATCTCTGCAGACAACTTTCCAGGCTTGCAGCTGGTTGATTAATGTCTGAAAAATTCTATGTTATCTCCTCCACCCCGGTTCTTTTTTATACTTATTTTTCCTCTCTCTCTAGGAAACAGAATCCTCATTTAAAAAAAAAAAAATTACCTGTTACTTGGACGTGGCAAATGGCGAGCTTCAACAAGTTGTATAATCTTTCAAAGAAATGAACATACTCTATAATTAAGGGGATTAAATTCCAACATTGTCTAATTAATTGAACTATTAATATTTGAATATTACTTAGCTAGTGTTTGCAAATGTTTCTACTTCTAATTTCTAAGTTCTGAACTTTGCAATAATTGAAAAGCACTTCCAACTATTTATAAATGAATTTCTAACTTCTGTTTTTCTAAATTTAAGGGGATGGAAGTAGGAGTTTTCAAACTTTTAAATTTAATAATTCTGTAAAGACATATTAAATAAATTATTAATCATTTTTATACAAAATTAAATAAACTTTTTTTCTTTTTAAAATTTTTAACTCTCTCTATTTTTTTAATTTTTTTTCTATTTGAAATTTTTACTAATTATCTTTCTACCTCTTTTCTTTAATACAAGTATTCAATTTTTTCTCTCCCTGTAATTTTGGCTAAATTTTTTTCTATCACTTCATTTTTCTGAAATTATCTTTTTTGCTTTCTAAAAATAAAAGAAGAATATGATTATAACTAAATTATTTATATTAATTCAGCGATGCCTTCTAACTCAATAACTTTAACTGTAAATGGATCTAATTTAACCCATTTAAATCAATTTAAATATTTAAAAAATGTCAGAGATATTTAAAATTAACATGAGAAAATAATTATTTGGCTAAAAAATTTATTTGTTCTTTTTGGCAAAAGAGGAGAAGTCATGAATTCAGAGATTTCAGATTTTATACCCACTTATATTTATATTGCAAGAAGCACTAAAACAAATTTTATAAGTACAAAGAGTTGGGGTGTTCATTAAATTCAACCAAACTATATAAACCAATTAAATTATAGTCTAAATTAGTTTGGTTTGATTGTAAAAGAATTTTTGTATACAATTTAGTTTACAATTTAAATATTAAAGAAATCATATAAATTAACTTATAATATATATATATGTATAAAATTATTCTTTTAAAAGAAAAAAATAATTAATTAATAGAAGATCTATAAAAGAGAATAGAAAAAAAAAAAAGTTTTACACGCACACACACACACATGCATGCACACATAAAATTACTCTTTGAAAAAAAAAATAATTAATTATTAGAAGACCTATAAAAAGAGAATAGAAAGAAGTATGTAGTTAGACTATAAAATTTTATGTTTATAGCTCTTTTATTAATTAGTTGATTTTCTTTTTCTCATAGAGTAATTTTATATACATGAATTCAAAATTTATTATATTGTATAAATATATTTGTTAAATAATACATAACTCTTATAATTAGTTAATAAATTATAAATTTATTAAATTAAATAAATTAATTTTACAAAATTAATAAATCTATAAATGAACAATAATTAAGTTTAATATCTAAAAATCACAATTAAATTGAGCTTTTAAACTAAACCAAATCACCCCTACAAACGATTTTATATATGAAAATAGATAACAACTTGGGGGATGAGAAAATAAAAAAGGGATAAAAATTATTTTACCCTCTAGGACTTCTTTCTCTATCCTATTTATCTTTAAATGATATAATATACCATTTACTCTCTTATATAGTGGTGTTGTTAATCTATTGTTAAATATCATTAAATCAAATAAAAGAAGGGAAAAGAAAAGTAAGACTTATTAAGACTTTGAATATTTTAAATAAATTATTAAAAAAATTTTTTGTTGATACTACAATAATTGATATTATTTTTTATTGTAATTACAAAATTTTTACTAAAAAATTTAGTCTACTTGATTATGATCTATTATATTCTAATTCTAAAGTTTATTTTTATTTATGTACGACAAAATTAAATTTTTTTAATACTATTTTATAATAAATAAAAAATATAATTTAGATTTCAAATTACAATATTTGAACAATATTTACTAAATTCAAATTTATTTATTTATTATTTCATTAAATTGTACAAATAATCTATATTAATTTTATAAAATTTAATCATATATTAATTTAATATATAAAATTAAATATATTTAATAATATTTATTATAAATATAATGTATTAACTTCAATTTTTAAAATTTTAATAATTAATTATTTTAATATAAATATTTTAAAAATAATATATTTAAAATTTAATAATTTAAAAAAATAAACATAATAATTAGTTAACAATATTAATATTGAAAGAAACTTTAGAGAACAAAATAATTTTTATTCCATAAAAATATATATATATATTAGTTATCGCACTTAACACTTTTGGTTGGCAAAAAAATTGAAAATAAATGTAAAATGGTACGCTCACAACCACAAATTTTCATTGATAACCAAGTAATAATAAATTACAAACTCCCACAAAATAATTCCAAAGAATATCGCACCAATTGTCAATCACTGTACAAAAAGCAAAGCAGGGGAAGACAGCTAAAAACGCGCTGCCTCTCGGCAAAATCCAGCGCATCAAAACGACATCGTGGCCCATATCAAACGACAAACTCCTCACTCTTCTGCAGCCTGAGCTCGCGCCGGAGCTTCCGAGAAAACGGCCGGCAAGCGTCCATGCTTAGGTCCATCGCCGCAGCGAGGGCCACAAAAGCCGCCGCGTCCTCCGTGCACGTCACATGCTGCACCCCCACCTCCACCTCGGCTTACTACACCGCCCCTCCCCCTCCACGGTCGACGACATCACAAATCCCCGGTACAACAGCTCCGCCCAAGAACCCGAACCCAAACCAGATTCTGATCCGGATTCAAAGTCGCAGCTACTGCTCCGGCTCGAAGCAGGGGAGGACCCAGCGCCGGAGACGATGTCGATGGCTAACTTGCCGCCAGTCTTGGTGCTGATGGAGGAGTCGGCGAGGGTGACGGGGTCGGGACAGCCCGTAGCAGCGTCGGGTAGGAGCTCGAACCGGTACCCAACACGATGGTTAAACCCACGCTCTCGCCACGCCTCGAGCCGGCCCCACGGCTTCCACGTGCCGTCGCGGGTCGGAGGATGAGCCACGCGCCCGGGTTGGACCGGCTCACCAAGTCGGTCCCCCGCGACGGAACGAACGGTGTCACCATTGACGCCGCCGCCACAGGCGACCCGGATAGATCATGAATCATAACAGACCACCCTTTTCGTTCCTTGACGTGTTGGTGTTCTTTGTTCCCACTTTTGAACCAATTCTTCGATGTGCACGGCTCTGATAACTGTGACCTGGATCTGAGATTGTGTTCGCCGAAGTTTCTGAAACTGAACTTGCAGGTAAAGACGGGTTGTCTCACGTTGCCGTTGACTTGAAAACATTGAGGGCTGCATTCGGGTTCACCATCGAACTGAAACACAAATCTCGGGTCAGGTTCGGACTTAACGTTCACATGCAATTGCGCGGACGATCCTTTTGCTGCGCGGACGACAGAGACCCATCCACTGTGAATGTCGTACTTTTCCTGGACTCCACTGATTTAACATCCAAAGGCAACGAAATACTCCCCAGAAGCTTAGCGGAGCTCAACCCGCAAGTGTTCCCTCTCCTACCGGTGTAGATCTCGATTTTTAAGCTACAAGGCTTTCCTGAATTTGATGATCTGAGGACCAATTTTTCGAATTGTGATTTGTTAAGGTTGAAGCAGGCAGCTGGCAAGGCAGGGATATGATCACCTTGTGAAATTAGAGGGACAGAAGAGATTTGGGAGGGGAAGTTCTTGAGCTTGATTCGACAAAAGCATGGAGAAGATGAAGGGTGGATGCCGGAGAATGCAGGTTTCGACGCCACCGGAAGTTTAACGGCTAAGCCTCCTATAACGATTCGCACGAAGGGACAGGGGTCCATGACTGCTACGCCCCTAGCAAGAACGAGCTTGTTGCTTTCGACCGTCTCTCTCCTCTCTCGGTTGTTCCTGTATGAGATAATGAGAAGGGTATATATATAGAGAAAGGGAGAGAGGGAGAGAGAGAGGGGGGGGGGGGGGGGGCGGTGGTTGGGAGAGAAAGCGAACAGGCTGGAATTGATTGGAGTGGAAGCTGGAGTCTGGAAGGAAACCTTTTTGGTTTTTTGTCTTTATTTATTTTCTTATATTTTCGATTGAGCTTGAAAGGATAAAAAAAAGTTGGAACTAAGAAAAAAAAAGGGAAAATCATTTTCTAGTGTTGTTTGGTTTATTATTAAAAAAATTAATATAAAAATATTAGACCTTTCTTATGCCGGAGACATTTCTATGTCCTAATTTCCGAGGTTTATCTCTGCATCATCAAATATTAAAAATAAAAATTCATTTTTGTTTAATAATTAAAAAATGTAAAACTAAAATAAAAAATTTTAATAGAATAATACCTTAAACTCTAGGGTGTTTTAAAAAGAGTTTGAGATGAAATCAGGGACAATAAAGCGTGCATGGCCATGCGTGGGAATACTGGAAAATGAGCTGTGCGCACGAACGCAGAGGCTGCCAGCGAAGCAGCCAGCGGCATCTCTGCCACTTAGCTCACACCTTGCTATTCCATGTCTCGTCCGGTCCATTTGATATTTGATGTTGGGTGCTACCCCAGCGGGGGTAGCGCCCTTAGCATCGTGACACGTGATCATTTTAGTTTAATTTTTTTTATTTTTTTTTTATATTTATTTAATTAAATAAATTTTAATTATTTAAATAAATTTTACATATTTTAGTTGTGTATATCAATATTAATATTTTTAAATTTTTAAATTTTTTATGTTTTACTTTTAAATTTTAAATAAAAATTAGTTTTTTGTATTCTCACTTTCTCTTTCTATATGATATATACACATATCTTTCTCTCTCTTAATTGGATGCGAAGAGTAATTGGACTGACCTGGTTTTTGGTTTATGTGAGCTCCAGCCGTCGGACAGCTATGTTTGGTTGGGCCCATCACCCCCACTCTGTTCCTGCCAGTTGGACCAAAGTTGGAAGGTAGCGATCCACATATTAACCTGTCTGGCCCACTATGGTCCTAAAACAAAAATCTTCTACTGGCTCCCGCTAGTCACCATCGGATCCCCTTGTTCCATTTTGGGACGCAGAGGTCGGCATTTCCTCAATTTACTTGAAAATACTTGTTTGTCTAGTCCAATTTCGAATTGAAGAGAATGTCGAAGTTCTTAGAAAAATAAATAGGTTGTCAACATCGTGGTCATTATCACTGTGAATGAGCCGATTTTGAATTGCATCATGATAAATTTAAAATTAATAATAATATATTATATATTTATATTTATTTCAAATAAAATATATATTTAATATTATTATGTATGAATTCAGATAATATTTAAGATAGCAATTTGAATCTAAAATTTTAAATTATCAAATATTTATGAATTTATACTTTAAAAGATATAATTCAAAATCAAAATAGTAAGTTATTAAAAAATATATGACCTAATAAATAATTTTAAAATTTAAAAGATTAATATAGTATAATTAATTTAATTTATCACAAATATTATAATTGAGACAAACTTATTGTCATGACCCGGAAGTCGAATCCGTGATTGATGTTAAGGTTAGAATAATCTCAATCTCGCAAATCTCCAATAATCAGAATTATAACAGAACAATTAAAAATTTCACTTAATACAGTCTCCCAAAATCAGATACAACTTTCAAAAATCAAATACAATTATAGACTTCTACACATCTTGTCTGTAATTACTAAGCGAACTAAAACAAAATACATACAAGAAAGAAAAGCAAAAACTAACTGCTATACTCAGAAATCAGATCAGCTGGAAGAATGAAATCGGGATCGGCGGAATACTATCACTAAGCAGGATCAATCGATAAAATCGAATCTGAGTCTGAAAAATAAAATAATGAGTCTATCGACCCAGTGAATAATAATACATATTTATATGACAAAAGACATATATCAGGTATTCTTAGCATAAAAACAAAGTTTTCAAATTATACAAGTTAGGGAGTTTAACACAAAAAATTGAATAGAGAAACAGGACAGTAATCTCATGGTATGCCACATACATATATCAGAACAGTGACTCAGAGTCTACTAATAATCAATAAGCAGGCCTACCACGTCAGCCATACATGATAGTCTAGCACTACCCCTACTAGCTTGGAATACAAGTGCACCAAGTCTAACGCTTACTACCGTTAGTTATAGAGTTCTAACAGTTTCGACACTCCCTTAAAATCATTTTTCATAATTTAACAGAATAAGTTACCAGTTTTCAATGTCTCAAAAGTATATCAGTGCTCAAAATCAAAATTCAGAAGTTTTTCCAACAAATTAGAAAATGACATATACGTCCCTCGTAACTTTTATAACAATTTAAGCTCAACTGGATAATAACTAAATAAATTTTCAATTTATGTAAAAAATTGGAAATTTTAACAAATATAACAACATTTAAACATATAAATATATACTATTACTCACAAAAATCGAGAATCATGAAACTTGAGTTCTGCGGTTTGGCTTCTCAAAAGTCAAATAATCAATTTAGAATTAATCAAAATGCTCTTTTTAGAACCTAATATGTCTCCAAGTTAATTCAAAACTAGATTCTTTTTAAAAACCCAAACATATTCTTAATTTTCATGTTTTAAGCCTTTTCGAAATTTTTAAAGTCCCAAACTGATAAAATAAAACTAAATCGAACCTCCGACACATTGAATCGAACATTAAACCCACTAAACCAGTGATAAAACCATTGAACCGGCCAAGAAACCCATTGAACTGGTCTCAAAAACCATTAAATTGGCCTTAAATTCATTAAATATGCCATAAAACCCATTGAACGGCTTTGAAATACATTGAACTAGCCATAAAAGTTAATGAACTAGACTTAGAAACCACTAAACCGGTTAGAATTTGCCCTGAACTGGCCATAAATATGTTGAACTGGTGATTTTCTTAATTTTTTTTTAATTTCATTGACATTGAACCAGGTAGACAATTTAATTATCTTCTTCTTCCATACCTTGAACTAGTCAAGAACTGGTCCAGAAGTCACTAAATTGGTCATTTTCTAATTTTTGGCATTTTTTTTCTTTTTTTTTTCCTATTCAGGCCTAATCCAGCCCTACTAGCTGGGTCGTTCAAGGACTCAACCCAGGCCGACTCATAGCCCAAAACCCATTAATCAATGGTCCGGGTTAAGATAGACCCAAACTCCCAGTTGGGTTGCTTCTTCTTAACCTAGTTTCTTCCGCCTTAAAATCGAAAATAAAGATCAGAAATTACCTCAAATCCTCCATGATTTCTTGCGATTTGAATCTTCCTGCTTGCTCGTAATGGGCCGATGAGGCCAACAATAGCTTTTAATCAAATCTTAATTGGCTAAAATTCAAGAAATTAGACTTGCAAAAGCAAACAGTGGAGACGGACTAACGACCCAAGATCCATAAAATCGATTAGCATATAACTAAGTTTCAGGAAATTGATTGAGAGTTAGTGCTCCTTGTACTCCATCAAACACATTTTACAAACATTTTCCAGAAAAACGTTCGGATTAATAACAAATTTAAGGTTGATTATTCGGAATTTTTGTTACAAGTGTTTCATCTCAAATTTTCTTGTGATTTGCAATTTGGTCCTTGGTTTCAAACTTCCCTACAATCTAGTCGCTAATAAACATGATATTCTATGTTTAGATGCCTATAAGTTCTATTTATTTC